CCCCAAAACCCCAAAACCCCAAAACCCCAAAACCCCTCTGTAACTCATCTTTATTGAATTAAATCTTTATAAAAATGTTCGGCCTAATATCAGGTATGATAGGTAAAAAGAAAGAGGAACCTAAACAACCTACTGAAGCTATCCATGAAGAAGAAAAAGAGACTGATAAGAGCTATAAGGGGATTAATGTTAGCCTCCTTGGGTTCCATATGGACGGCATTATCGAAAATTCTGATGATAATAAACCTGTAGATGCTATTTATAGGACAAAGAATGGAAGAAGTGCTGTTATTTTGGAAGATCAAGACATGAATGTGAAGCTATAAATAAACCCATTAATAACTCTAAAAGAGACAATCATTTTGAAAATGCTCTTAATCTCAAGCCAGAATCAAATACTTCAGTCAGGAGTAATTGAGATGATAATGGTTCAAAAAGGAATGGAGAGTGTAGTAGTCCTAATTCTAAAGGAGATCATCTCCTGCCTCCTACACCTCCAACAAATAAACCTCCTATAGTACCTCGGCACAAAAGGCAATCCAGCGGATCATTGGCTCTTTATAGTACTAATAATTTTGGAAGTCTTCAAGTAAGATCATTTAGCAAGTTGAACACTCGTAAGTACCCACTGACAAGTTTACTAGTTACGATAATTTTTGCTTAATTTGAATTTTAGTAAAAGGAACTGAAGAGTCTCAGAAAGAGCTAATATCTCCAAAGAATTCACCTAAAAATAGCCAGCCTTCAACCACCCAAAAAGGGTTCAACCTTCTAGCTAGGTCAGACTCGAAGGCAGGCTGGGGGTCACTTTTTAAATTACAGATGGAATACGCAGACTATGTCATAAATACACTTGATGAGTTCCTAACAGTTGCTGGGTTTGAAATATATTCAGATGAAGGTGAAGAAGTTCATTTAAAGGTTAAATCTACAAATAAAGTGATTAAAGTAAGGAGAGACCTCTTCACAAAATATTCTACTCCTGATAGCTCCAGGATTGAAGATGAGCCTGTTGACTCTAGCATTATGGTTAAGGCGGAGAATGTCATTGAAAAATTAGCAAGTCTTAAACAATCTACTGCAATAAATCCCAGACTTTCTAAAAGAGGTATCAAGCTTGTATTAAATCTAGATTCCCACCAAGCAAATTTAGCTCTAAACCTAGCCTCTCAAATTGAAAAAGCATCAGAAGTGCAGGGTGCTAACACTTGTTCACCCATAAAGAAACAGGTATGGTTTGTTTTACTAAAATCCTAATTTCATCACATAATTCTAAAATAATTTTAACAACGATATTACATCTAAAATCTAGAATACTCTAAAAATCTCTATTTACGTACTTCTGTAGCCACCCATAGAAATCGGTTCAATCGAGGAAGAAAATGACGAGGATAACTTTGCAGATGTCTTCAACGGGCTAGAAAAAATGAGCAACAACAGTACACTTTTTGATGATTTTGACGACGATGATATCCCTCCTCCCCTACCAGGGACAAAGAATTTGGTCAAGAATTCTACTAATAAATCTTTATCAAAGCCTCTAGAGGAAAGAGGCCAGGTGAACTCTCCTCAGAAATTAGGTAAAAACATATCTGAGATAATCAGTGAATCTAAAGATACGAGAGGCTCTTCTGGTTCGATCAATGACTTATTCTCAGCAAAGAAGCTCTCTGATATTCCTAAGAACATCAAGAAAGGCCCAGATTTTGAATTTAGAGAGAAAAGAATGACTGTGAATGTAGCCAATCCTGGCAAAATTTTCGATCCGTATATTATCATTGCACAGTTAAAGGAAGAACTTCGGCTTAAAAATGATGAACTTCAGAGAATCAGCTTGAAGATGAATAATTTTAAGAGAGGGTCAGATTATTCAGACCTGAACTTCACTACAAATGAGATAAACAGTACTTCTTCATATCATTTAGCTTTCCTGTTTGCTTCTCCTTTGGTCAGAAAGCTGAACTCAAACCTTGAAATGATAATGCAGCTAGATTATCAGAATGAAATTATTGGAATTGAGAAGCATCTAAGCGACGTCAAACATGAGATAAATTACAAAGTTGATGTGGCAACCCAGAGTAACTTCAGAAGCGTCATCGTGGACGCTCCTTTCGCTCTTCATTTCACAGGCCATGGTATTCCAAATGACAAGAAAGCTCTAGGTCCAGCTCATATGCAATTTAAAGACAAAGGCAATATCTTACTTCTTGAAGACGAATGCGGGATGGCTGATTACTTGTTTGAGAAGGATCTTAAATAAGCTAGTTGATATGACAAAGGCACGGAAGGAGTTCTCCTTCCATTATGAGGTAGTCTTTCTATCATCATGCTACTCAGAATTAACCTCAGCAATCTTCCTAAACTCAGGAGCACGCCATGTGATATGAATCCAGAAGGACAAGACTATCTCTGATAAAGCTTCTTTGAGGTTCTCTAAAGTATTTTATGAGACTTTGTTCGCCAAAAAATATTCTGTTTGAAAGGCTTTTAAAATTGCCAAGGATGATATTCGTACCCTGATCAATGCTACTGAGGCAAATAAATTCCTGATCTTGATCAATGAGAATGCTAATAAGAACAAGAAGCATAAATGCTTTCCTATATCCAAGCTAAAGGATGGAAACCTAACAAAGATTGGAAAAATGCCTTTATTTGATTCAGTTCCATCAATTGTAGAAAATTTTAGAGGAAGACAGCAAGAAATGTGAGAAGTAATCTCAATTCTCAGGAAAAACAGACTTGTCAATGTGCTTGGCCCTCCAGGAATCGGGAAAACCAGTCTTTCAAGAAACTTATGAAACCACCTCAAGGATAGGAACAGGTTTCAAGATGGAATAATCTATCTTGGCCTACGTGGTTGAGAGTCAGCACAAATGTTTGTGACAAGGCTAAGCCTCTCAATCCAGGCTTCAGCCACCCAGAAAGAGGATAATGTACTTAGTCTAGAGAAATATACCACTTTTAATACCTCAGAGGATAGCCAAGCTAGGAACAAGGAAAATGAAGAAATGATAAAGGCTATCATCATAAAGATCTTACGAAATAGAGAAGTCTTGATAGTCTTGGATAACTGTGAAGATCCCCTAGAAGATGATTGTGATAGGTTTGTTAGCCAAATAGATCATCTACTCTATGAATGTCCCAGAGTAAAGATTCTTTTGACCTCCAGGAAATATATTAATAAATTAGAGCATAATCATGAGACGCCATATCACTTGTATTCTTTGACTCCTCAGGCTTCTCTAAAGCTGCTGTTGGAAAAGGCACCAAGGGAGATTAAAAACAAAGAGATTGAGGAGCTACTCAACTATAAAATTCCAGCAAATCATGCAATTCACCAGCATTTACCGACAATGGACAATTCAGACGTATCTTTAAGTAACCATCCGTTCACTTTACTCTTGGGTGGGCATCCACAAGCTATCTCTTTAGCAGCTCCAATGCTTGAAACCCAGTCTCTTACAGAACTTTTTGAGGAACTTCTGAAGTCAAACATCCTCGATTCTCTTGGATATGGAGGAAAACAGTCATATGCTTCTCTAAGGCTTTCTCTTGAGGTGTCAATTAATAAAATGAAGAAGACAAACCAGCAAGCGCTAGATCTCTTCATGTTTATCGGACTTCTTCCTGGTGGAATAAGCCAGCCTGAATTAAACTCCCTGTATGGTGGGTTAGGATTTAAGAGCCAGAAGGAGACACTCATTCGTGCTTCCTTGCTGGTCTACAAAAGAAAAGAGAACGCTCTGACCCTTCTTCCATTTATGAACGCTCGAGCTTTTGAACTTCTTGAGGAGGACGAAGTCAAGAAGAAGCAGTTACATTTGAGATGCTGCAAGTTCTACAAAGATTTCTGTATCAGATATATTAAATAAGATGAATGACAATGACTTCTCCCTCAATGAACTAGTCGAACGTGAAGCTAATATCTGGGCTTGCATTTATAGAGCAGTTAATAGGAAGAAAGATAACAATGAGTTTGATGAGGAAGAAGACTCAGATGTTTTACCCATTACTAGGTAATGATACACTCCGAAGGTTACGAGGGCCTTCAGTAGTTTGTTAGAAATTTAAGTTTAGAAATTCACCGAACTTTATATTTTAGAAATTCTTTTGTTTTGGACGAACTTCATCATTAACAATTCTTTGGAAAATATTTTAAGAAACTAATCTAAAATAAATTTTCCTTTAAAATATGGATACGGAGATAACTCTCTTATTGCTTCAATCTATCTCTATTATTTACTAATCTTAATCGGTGAAAGCTGATATAATCTATGTGTACTCATTAGCACAGCTCTCATCTTTTTTGGCTTATCTAAAGCAAGTATGTAAATTTCGAGCTTTCCTGCTCATCTCCGCCATCTCATTTCAAAGTCATGACTCTAACTTATAGCATGAATGATGATTATTTGCTAAACCTTTCTCACGAGCAGTTGATTCCAACCACCAATTTAATGGGTGATAAGAAGTACCCGAACCTACAAGTCATCCATGAAGCAGATGATGTCTCAGGACTAGAGGAAGAGAGCTTCGTTCAGACAGACGAAGAATCTTTTGGTAAGCTTATCAATACAATCAGTCATTTATTTTTCTAGTTGACCAGTCCTATGGAGATTCTAGTAATCCTGAGGAACCCAGAGCTGCATTAGAGAAATGATTTACTAGTTCAGGTACAAAGGTTAGTGGAGAGACAAGCTTGATGAGAAAAAAATCTAGAGCACTTCAGAAGAAAATCTCTTCTTATGCGAAAAAGGAGTATCTTGGATCGATGACCAGACTTAATTCAGAAAAGCATCAGTTTCATGCCCTTGGAACTCTGAAGCAAAGTTCTGGGGAATTCAAAGCGAGGACGCAGTCATATCAGGATGAGGAAATGCTGGCTGTCTACTATATTTCAATAGTTATCCGTCTTTGCAAGTTCTCTGATGGCTTTAAAGCCATTCATGAGTATAAAAAGAAAGAGAATATTAGCAAGAGAGCTCTTGCTCATATATTAAAGCTTCGAGGAGTCCTGACTCTTCTAAAAGAAAAGAAGGAGTACAAGGAAGCTATCAACTTTTTCAATGAATCTCTGCAACTATTTCACAAGATTGGCTCGTCCAAAGGACGAGCCATTTGTAGACTAGCCCTAGTTAGATGAAACTTTGAACTTGAACTTTCTAAGGAGCCTAAAGACAGGAAATTAAGTACTGTTCTTTCTTCAGCTGAAAAAGCAAGCAATCTTTTCGAGAAAATCTGACACAAAGAAGGCCAGCAAAGAGCCCAGCATTATATTAATGAGATTAAGAAAGCAATTGATGGAGAGGTTGACACCAAATTTGCAAAGTTTGTGAAGTTCAAAACTTTTAAGAAGAATCATATCGATAGTGCCAAGGCTGATGATGCATTTTTAGAGAAACAGATGCTGAATAACGAGGATATCAGGTTATTTATTGATGTTATTAACCAAGATGATGATGATAAGGATAAATATCGTCGAATCACTTCTATAAACATTTCCCGGAGTCGTAGCCGGCTAAAATCTGATTCTAAGAAACCTATAAAGTACTCTCATACACCTTCGAATCTGACTTTGAGTGTGAACACATTAACATTTAAGAACAAGAAGGTTCAGATAAAGAAGAGGATGAAACACTCTTATTCAAAATCAATCACTGATAATTCTAACAACTTACTACCATATAAGCTTAACAAAGAAAGAATGAAGAGTAGGATAAGAAAGAACTTGGTACGCCAACTCAAATAATTCTCCTATAGTTACGACCACTATCAAATATCGAGTAATATCACAAAATACCCAAAGAACTATTTAATACTAAACTCCATCTGATTTCTAGCTTCAACCACCCCATTCCCACTCGGGGTTTTGGGGTTTTGGGGTTTTGGGGTTTTGGGGTTTTGA